TGCAGTCATAATACAAACAAAAGAACATAACTCTGATAATGTGCACTGTCCTTGAAGTTGATTGGTCCACACCCGAGACAGTGCACATTATCAGAGTTATGTTCTTATGTTTGTATTATGACTGCAGGTATTGCGGTCTATGCAAACATGACTCCTTGCAAAAAGGTGTCAGTTTTGTTGCCAGATAGAAGGGTAAAGAACCAATTATCATATTTTTACTGGCAAATGAGGTCCCCATAGTGTAGATGCTTGCCCCGAGCTCTCATACTCTGATGGTGCATTGTCCTTGAGTTGTGCGCCTTTTGGCGTCATCTGGTCCAACCCATATGAGACTAGGCTCGAAGGAAAGCTGTCTCGGGTGTGGACCAATCAACTTCAAGGACAGTGCACATTATCAGAGTTATGTTCTTTTGTTTGTATTATGACTGCAGGTATTGCGGTCTATGCAAACATGACTCCTTGCAAAAAGGTGTCAGTTTTGTTGCCAGATAGAAGGGTAAAGAACCAATTATCATATTTTTACTGGCAAATGAGGTCCCCATAGTGTAGATGCTTGCCCCGAGCTCTCATACTCTGATGGTGCATTGTCCTTGAGTTGTGCGCCTTTTGGCGTCATCTGGTCCAACCCATATGAGACTAGGCTCGAAGGAAAGCTGTCTCGGGTGTGGACCAATCAACTTCAAGGACAGTGCACATTATCAGAGTTATGTTCTTTTGTTTGTATTATGACTGCAGGTATTGCGGTCTATGCAAACATGACTCCTTGCAAAAAGGTGTCAGTTTTGTTGCCAGATAGAAGGGTAACGAACCAATTATCATATTTTTACTGGCAAATGAGGTCCCCATAGTGTAGATGCTTGCCCCGAGCTCTCATACTCTGATGGTGCATTGTCCTTGAGTTGTGCGCCTTTTGGCGTCATCTGGTCCAACCCATATGAGACTAGGCTCGAAGGAAAGCTGTCTCGGGTGTGGACCAATCAACTTCAAGGACAGTGCACATTATCAGAGTTATGTTCTTTTGTTTGTATTATGACTGCAGGTATTGCGGTCTATGCAAACATGACTCCTTGCAAAAAGGTGTCAGTTTTGTTGCCAGATAGAAGGGTAAAGAACCAATTATCATATTTTTACTGGCAAATGAGGTCCCCATAGTGTAGATGCTTGCCCCGAGCTCTCATACTCTGATGGTGCATTGTCCTTGAGTTGTGCGCCTTTTGGCGTCATCTGGTCCAACCCATATGAGACTAGGCTCGAAGGAAAGCTGTCTCGGGTGTGGACCAATCAACTTCAAGGACAGTGCACATTATCAGAGTTATGTTCTTTTGTTTGTATTATGACTGCAGGTATTGCGGTCTATGCAAACATGACTCCTTGCAAAAAGGTGTCAGTTTTGTTGCCAGATAGAAGGGTAAAGAACCAATTATCATATTTTTACTGGCAAATGAGGTCCCCATAGTGTAGATGCTTGCCCCGAGCTCTCATACTCTGATGGTGCATTGTCCTTGAGTTGTGCGCCTTTTGGCGTCATCTGGTCCAACCCATATGAGACTAGGCTCGAAGGAAAGCTGTCTCGGGTGTGGACCAATCAACTTCAAGGACAGTGCACATTATCAGAGTTATGTTCTTTTGTTTGTATTATGACTGCAGGTATTGCGGTCTATGCAAACATGACTCCTTGCAAAAAGGTGTCAGTTTTGTTGCCAGATAGAAGGGTAAAGAACCAATTATCATATTTTTACTGGCAAATGAGGTCCCCATAGTGTAGATGCTTGCCCCGAGCTCTCATACTCTGATGGTGCATTGTCCTTGAGTTGTGCGCCTTTTGGCGTCATCTGGTCCAACCCATATGAGACTAGGCTCGAAGGAAAGCTGTCTCGGGTGTGGACCAATCAACTTCAAGGACAGTGCACATTATCAGAGTTATGTTCTTTTGTTTGTATTATGACTGCAGGTATTGCGGTCTATGCAAACATGACTCCTTGCAAAAAGGTGTCAGTTTTGTTGCCAGATAGAAGGGTAAAGAACCAATTATCATATTTTTACTGGCAAATGAGGTCCCCATAGTGTAGATGCTTGCCCCGAGCTCTCATACTCTGATGGTGCATTGTCCTTGAGTTGTGCGCCTTTTGGCGTCATCTGGTCCAACCCATATGAGACTAGGCTCGAAGGAAAGCTGTCTCGGGTGTGGACCAATCAACTTCAAGGACAGTGCACATTATCAGAGTTATGTTCTTTTGTTTGTATTATGACTGCAGGTATTGCGGTCTATGCAAACATGACTCCTTGCAAAAAGGTGTCAGTTTTGTTGCCAGATAGAAGGGTAAAGAACCAATTATCATATTTTTACTGGCAAATGAGGTCCCCATAGTGTAGATGCTTGCCCCGAGCTCTCATACTCTGATGGTGCATTGTCCTTGAGTTGTGCGCCTTTTGGCGTCATCTGGTCCAACCCATATGAGACTAGGCTCGAAGGAAAGCTGTCTCGGGTGTGGACCAATCAACTTCAAGGACAGTGCACATTATCAGAGTTATGTTCTTTTGTTTGTATTATGACTGCAGGTATTGTGGTCTATGCAAACATGACTCCTTGCAAAAAGGTGTCAGTTTTGTTGCCAGATAGAAGGGTAAAGAACCAATTATCATATTTTTACTGGCAAATGAGGTCCCCATAGTGTAGATGCTTGCCCCGAGCTCTCATACTCTGATGGTGCATTGTCCTTGAGTTGTGCGCCTTTTGGCGTCATCTGGTCCAACCCATATGAGACTAGGCTCGAAGGAAAGCTGTCTCGGGTGTGGACCAATCAACTTCAAGGACAGTACACATTATCAGAGTTATGTTCTTTTGTTTGTATTATGACTGCAGGTATTGCGGTCTATGCAAACATGACTCCTTGCAAAAAGGTGTCAGTTTTGTTGCCAGATAGAAGGGTAAAGAACCAATTATCATATTTTTACTGGCAAATGAGGTCCCCATAGTGTAGATGCTTGCCCCGAGCTCTCATACTCTGATGGTGCATTGTCCTTGAGTTGTGCGCCTTTTGGCGTCATCTGGTCCAACCCATATGAGACTAGGCTCGAAGGAAAGCTGTCTCGGGTGTGGACCAATCAACTTCAAGGACAGTGCACATTATCAGAGTTATGTTCTTTTGTTTGTATTATGACTGCAGGTATTGCGGTCTATGCAAACATGACTCCTTGCAAAAAGGTGTCAGTTTTGTTGCCAGATAGAAGAGTAAAGAACCAATTATCATATTTTTACTGGCAAATGAGGTCCCCATAAAATAGAAGGTGTTAAGATACTCTTTGGTTCTTTTGGTAAAGTCACGTAGGTAGAAAATAAAATAAAAAATAATATATCACGATGTTTCAATCACAACACAAGCTGTCGTCCTCAGGCGAAAGAACCAAAGAGTATGGATTCCTGCAGTCACGAAAGCTTCAAATCAAGGTGTTAAGATGTTACAACACTAAATATATCTTTTGCAAGAAATCAAATCTGCATTAATCACCCGAGCTATAAGTGTTCTGATACTTACATTGCCTTAGTACTGTTTGTATTTTGGCGTTCTCAAGTCGATTTACACTGGTGGTGAGACAATGCCATGAAGAAGGCTGTCTGGTGTAGGCCAATCAGTTTCAAGGACAATGCGTATGTTATTACAGCGTGTTTGTTTGCATGTTTTGCCACAAGTACGTGTGGTTAATGCAAACCTGATGCTTTGCAAAAGGTATCTATTTAGTGTTTGAACATGTTAATACTTATTTTATTGCAAGAAAGAGTAAAACCTATTCTTAAGCTGTTCTCTTAGCTACAATCTGCCACTGCCTGAGTGGCAGTACTAGAGAACCGAACTCCACCTAATCTATAGTGTAATTTTAAGTGATATTAATGAAGGCATTGCAGGTGATAGAGGCTGCGGGTTGTCCTTCTTGAGGGACCCACGGGGCCACATTTACCTGCCCTATGATCCATAATGTTTTTTGTTGGGTTAGATAGGATAAATATTAATGTCGTTAAACCCACCACCACCTACAGCATGATAAGTAAAATTTGGCATGTAAACAAAACGTGCCAATTAGTTAGTTCAGCACACCGGTGTGTTGGAGAGTAAACCCACAACATTTACAGTTCGAGTACGACGTTTCGGTGGCAATTACAACCAGCCTCATCAGGTGACAGCTAGAATTGTGGGGAAATCCTTCTGTTTCACTCTTAAATGGAGGGGTAAATGTGATGTCATAACTTGTGAGCCAACCAGGTGCTAAGACCAGAGGGGTGGGGGGGGGGTTAATGTATTCATATAATTTATAAAGAATATCTATTATTGGTTGGGTTATTCACAGTTATAAACATACATAATGTATGAGAATAGGTTTTCCCATTTTTTCTGACAACAAAACAGGTGTTAAGATGTTAAAACACCAAACTGAAACCTTTTACAAGGAATCATGTCTGCATTAACCACACTACTTGTGGTCAGAATGCAAACAAAAAACATACTCTGATAATATATGCATTGTCTTTGAAACTGATTGGTCCACACCAGAGACAATGCATATATTATCAGAGTATGTTTTTTGTTTGCATTCTGACCAAGTATTGTGGTTAATACAGACATGATTCCTTATAAAAGGTTTCAGTTTGGTGTATAAACAACCTAACACCTGTTTTATTGCCAGATAACAGGAGAAAAAGTATTCTCATATTTTGCTACTGGCAAAGGAGGTCCCATGACGTTCAACCTTATTTGGAGATTGTAAAAAAAACAGGCATACGACAGATGAATCTCGAAGAAAAGTCACAACCCTAGTGGTGACAATACATCGAATCGCTTAGTGTGCTGAACCTTTCCGCCCGTATTTTTATGACCAACCCCACTAGGCCAGCGCATCTCTTGAGCGATGTTTTCCGTGTCTCCCTGGTTAATGAGTGACCAGTGTTGATCGATTAAGGAGACGCCTGGTTAATCACACAGTCCCAAGTCCACGGCGCTGCCATGAGTCCGAGTGAGCTCGGGTGGTGCGCGTAGTGAAAACCAGTCGACCTCTAGGCAGGCCGGATGAGTGGAAATTCAAGAACTTGGTGCTGCCCGTGTGAAATATGAAAGGACCGTTTCGGCTATTAGTGCTTTATGGTAAGCCTGCTTTGATACACTCACTACTCCATGGGATTTTCATTTCGCGTGGCTCTACAGTTTTGGCCCTCCAACAGATATCGTTCATTGTTTAAGTGAACTTATTGTACTGGAGTAATCGGGCTTTCTTCAGTGCAGCTCCCGAACTTTGTAACGGTTTGCTTTTGCTAGTAAGACAATCATAGTCGTGAAATATATTTGTATATATTTAAGTCTATCTTGAAATCTCACCTCTTTCAACTCGCATCTTCTCTCCTGCCTCGTCCTGGCCGTTTACCCTGCACATTCTGTTTATTTCCTGCTTTCCATACACGGTGGCGGCGCATTGGGATTTATAGATTAAATGCGCCACTTTACACATGTATATGATTATGACTTAGCTTTTCTAAAATAGATCCCGACCCCAACTTCGTAACCTTCTTTACCTAGTTTTTATTTAAAAACTAAATTCTGTTGTTCACATCCCATCGGAATTGTAGTGTCTATGTTATAACGTGTGTACCTGGTTAATCTATTGAAGGTGGATTGTTACATCTCTGTACCGTGACAGATGTTGGTGGCTTGGGGAGGCGTTCATCCAGAAGTGGATTTATCATATCTGATTACGTTAAGATTTCATTGAGTGACAATTACTGACTGTGATGGAGCTGTATAATCACAGTACAGTCCGTTCTCCTATAACGTGTGTTGTTTTCATAACGAGAATTGGATATAACGCGATTAATGTATTTGGGAACATATTTTAATAACGCAGATGCGAATTGAATATCACCCGATAGATTGAATGGATCTACGTCGCATGAGTAAGAATAAGCGGTCGTGCGGCTCCCCCGGCATAGCATCACACAAGCTGGGATGCTGCTGGATGCTTCTAGATGCTACCCACGCGCCTCAGTCTTTGTTTAGCCTGTGTACGCATCTCACGTGTCATCGCGGACTGTGCTTTACCCCCTATATTATATATTATAGCGCGATTTTCCATAACACCGTGTTCTTCAGGAACGCAACTACTACCGCGTTATAGGAGAACACAGCTGTATTTAGATCACACAGAGATCACCCTGGGTGCTAACTGCAACCCCCCTTCCCCACCGTAGATTACGAGGTGGATAGTCGCTGTTCGTAAAGGATGTTGGTTTATGACCCAGCTTTACATATTCTTAAGTGTCGTCCACTCATAATGTGCGATGGGGCTCATCTCCTAGTTCTCTCTTTGCTACCGCATGAAGCCAAAACTCCCATTAGCATTTACCAACCATCCCAAGCGGTGGTGGTGGCTGTGGTGGCTATGCACGTGCAATCCAGCACTGTGGAGGGGGCGGGGGTTGGTGGATCACAGAAATGTTGTGATGTGAAACTCACTACCCGTGGGTGTCGAGCCGACATACCCTGGCTCACTAGAAACTAAATTAGACGACGAAACGAATTTAATTGGACTGTACCAGGGCACACCGAGTTCTTTTCCAGAAGCGACCTGTATGTTGAACTTCTTGTATTTATTTAGAACTTCTTTCGCACTGTACGTAGCCAGCCGTGCTAATTGGAGGTGCGGGGGAAGGACAACTAAACACAAACAGAGTTATAAAGATATTTATTTTCTATTTAGATTTAAAAGTGCATAGCTCTCGTGGCTTCCTAATATTGGAAGAGCGTTCCAGATGGCCACAGAATTGCATTTAAATCACGTGACGAAGAAGGGACAACATTACCATGTGTGTAGGAGTTCACATACAACTTGTCGATCGATCCACTGCTGGATGAGGCTCTACCTACGCCATGTGGGTCCTGATGGTTATTTGACCATACTTCACCACGCTGGTCAGTATGGGTTGGTGAAGGTGGGGGGAGTCCAAGACAACAATGGATTTGCTGCACTCCCCTCTGCTAACCACTGCCTACAACAACAGATTGTTACGCATGGTAAAACTATAAACTTTTTATTTTACCAGGTAAGGCCCACTGAGCTATGGAGCTCTTTTTGAGAAGTGACCTGGCTTATCAAGTAGAAATGTATTGCAGGCAAATACTCTAAACGCATGTTGATTCCAAATGTGAAGGGAAATACTGGAGGACCCAGAGGTAAAATCCACGCGACCACGGAGAGAGAGTACCGCGACGTCCACGATGGCGAGATGGTGATAACCCATCCAGGCTCTAATCCACTTTTCATGCTCTAACCAGCTTGGCTTTCATGATCTTATGGAGTCAGGCGCACGCTGTGTTATCTGCTAATAGGGGTATAGGAGCTCATTATAGTATTCTATTCATACTAACAATGAAATGTAGTGAAACTTTTAAAATTACAATGCAGTACGAAGGAAAGTTGAATTAAGGTATAAGTGTGGTCATGTCTGTGAAACAAAGATGAGCAGATATTACAAATTTTTAGTATTGCAAAGTACAATAATAATTTGTTTTACCCACATATTACTCCTAAACCTAAAAAGTATACGATGGTTTTATCATATGGCATTGCATGATATGCATTTTTTTACTTTTCAACCATACAAAGCAAAGATGTATACAGTTACTTATTGTGGGTCTGAAGACAACAGTATGATGGACCGGTCTCTAATGGGGTTTCTAGATAACAATTACAGACTGATGTGTACTTCACAACCCTTTAAAAATAGACTGCGCTTTCTATGTTCTATCCCTGCAGGTCTGGTGACCTTGGGATCCTCCCAAGTGGATGTGGATCAGTTTGTGACGGTGAACCGTGGGCAAGAGGTCACCCTGAGATGCGTCTACACGGGGACACTCATACCTGCGAGTATAATCTGGCAGAAAGTAAACGGAGACTCCTCAGTGAGAATCGCCATTGCACTTTCCAGCGGTTACAGGATTGACAATAGCACCTTCTACGGGCGACTCAACTTCACAAACTACACCTCTGAACTGAGGAACGGATCCATCCGCATTGAAGACATCCGTCTCGGGGACGAGGGAGACTTCACCTGCATGTTTGCCACTCTTGATGTCGACGTTCAAGCAACAATCAACCTCACTGTGAACGGTGAGGCAGTTTTTTTTAATGCGACATAACGTGAAACCTGTACAATGCGCTAACGAATATTGAAGGGGGGATATAAAATCCGCAAGAATTTCACTTCAGCACAACGGGACTGTACGTAGGGGGGAGGGGGTATTGGGCCGGCAGCCCCAGCCAAGTGGGGACCCCACGTAGGGGGGCCAGGGGGCGGGAGATAACTAACATACTAAGGGGAGACCAGGGACAGAGGGAAGGGGAGGGGGTTTCGTTTTTTAGCCATACTCCACTACGTATCAGTTCCATATTTTTAAACAATGACTCCGTTTACTACAAGCGTATTTGTATCTCCAAGGAGGAAACGCTCAGTGAAAAGTTCCCTTGTTACAATGCTGTTCTCAACAAACCCTTTATAAAGTCCGAGTCTCACCCTGCTGACACGAGCATGACGGTGGTACTAGTGGTAGGACCTAAGGGATGCGGGCTATTACCCCTCCCCGTCCCCCTCTCGACCCCGAGAAACCAGTACAGGGCAGTGCCCATAACGCGTGGTGGTGTTCACACGACGCGTTGCCGCCATAACGTGGCTTACCATTCGGGAACACTTTTCGCACAGCGTGGAATGCTACCTTAGGAAGTTTGCAGATCTGCCTCTACGTGATACCCGAAAACACCAGTAAACATATTTCTCTTCTCTGCTGTGGAACCAGTCTCTTCAGAGGGTGGCCAATGTTCACCTCAGAAAAAGTGGTACTTATAAACCAAGCCCACCTTGACACACCCGCGGATCTCTTGGATACGTTCTCTCCCTTGGCTACCAATTCACCGTTAAGTCTCGGATTTTGGTGTCACGAGATCGTGAGAGTGGATTGACCACGTCTTATAAGGATGCGGATGACCTCAAGCCCAGAGTTATACTGGTAGGAACCTCCTGGTTACACTAGCCCACAGGGGATTATTGTGTCCGTCCGTCATGCAGGGAGGGGCTGGGTGGGTAGGGAGGGGCTGGGTGGGGATCGGAGGGTGGGGAGGGGCTGGGTGGGGAGGGTGGGGCTGGGTGGGGAGGGTGGGGAGGGGCTGGGTGGGGAGGGTGGGGGGGGGGCTGGGTGGGGGGGGTGGAGAGGAGCGGGGTGGGGGGGGTGGGGCTGGGTGGGGGTGGGAGGGGTGTGGCTGGGTGGGGAGGGGCTGGTCACCCCGTGGTGCCCTTATAAAACTCAACGTTTAATCTACTCACGCCGGCTTGTGCCTGCCCTCACAGTCGGCCATATTTGTGGAATACACCACGCCGCCGGCCATTGACCGAGCAACCCAACGTTACTACCAGCTCCCTCCGCAGGAATGTTTATGAGTTTGAGTCCACCTTCAACCACTATTTAAACTCGCAACCTTCCAACTGTGAGTCATAATAACTGACAATTCCACCCAGGAAAATCAAATGTTGGATGGACAAAATGTCACACGGAGTCAGCCACACCAAACATGACCTTCATTCATTATCGCCCCCCCCAATGTTACGTCAATTGTGCAATCAGTGTCATCAGATGAATCAGTTTGTATCTCCCACAGTTAACCCTTCCCCGTTCTAAGACATCTGCAGGTTGCAGGGTGGTGTCCCGTTCACCTCTGAATCTCTGAAAGTGCAAGCGGTTCAGTGTTCATTTTACTTACAGATGTGTAGCGTTGTTGTTTTTAAACACACTGTATTTATTGCAGAGAACCGTTGTGACACATCCATACTCTATGATAGCTGGCGCCAAACTGTGCCACACGTCCTCCTGCATATTTTAGTTTTTCAGTTCTAATAACTACACGTATGTACATTATTGGAATAGAATCATTCAGTGGGGGAAGGGTTAAGAGTGTCCCTTCTTGTTACAGAACGGCCCACGGAAGCGAATAATTTCGAGCTACCTCTGAGATTTATTTTAGTAACCTCTGCTCCAAACAGTGGATGCCAGCACTTAACCATCTGTGTCTCTCTTTGTCTCTGTTTCTCTGTTCCCCAGTGCCCCCAAAGGTTTTTCCAGAGTTTAACCCATACGAGTTGGTAGACGGCATGGGGCTGGTGACCGTGGCCACGTGCGTTGCTCAGGAAGGAAAACCCGCAGCCTCCATCACCTGGAGTGGCCTCCATGAGGGCAGCTTCAATGAGACCACAGAGACGGAGCCGGACGGAACGGTGACGGTGAGGAGCCGCTACTGGCTGGAGCCCACGTACGAGAGCCACGGGAGGACACTCACCTGCAGAGTGGAGCACCCGGCCCTCGAGTCTCCAGTGGAGTACTCTACCACCCTGAACATCCACTGTGAGTAGTGGGCATGATAAATAAACAATAAGTCAGAAAGTTCAGTTGTCGAGATGTTTAAATGAGCCTGGATTGGTGGTCATCTCTATTGGCAGCCCTGAGTCCATTGTAGACATTTCACATTGTTATTATAGATTGAAAACTCATTAGAACAGATTTTTGTGTTCAGTTTGTCGTCCTTCCCCTGCAACTTAAACTACCATGATTGGCTACGCACGGTGCGCAAGAAGTTCTACATACATACATCGTGCAAGAGTAACAATGTCCATTATTTACCTAGAAATGTATCTTTGAGGTATATGTGTCTTTGTAGGGAAGGTCCTGTACAGGGATATTTAGCCATTTCCCGTAGAGAGTGTTTGGCTTTGTATGGGAGCAAGCCAGAGTACTCAAGGAATACCCACACATACGGCAGGATAATGCTCAAAGTTCCACACAGATAGATTCAGTAATCCATCTGTCCATTGGTCTTTCCGTACCATTGGGGTGTAAAATCTATCGAAGGTGATCCATTATATCGTTGTAAGTATCAGTTTATCTCCTACAGTTATTGCGTCCCTTCTTCTTAGAGAACAATCCACGGAAGCCGATAACACAGAACTACCAGAGATCCCTTTAAGTGACCTCTGCTCCACACAGTAGAGAGCAGCACTTAACTGCTATTTAACCGTCTCTGTGTATCTGTCTGTCTGCGTCTCTGTGCCCTAGTTCCCCCAAATGTCTCTCTAGAGTTAAACCATTCCCAGTTGGTCGAGGGCATGGGGCTGGTGACCGTGGCGACGTGCGTCGCTCAGGAAGGACAACCCGCAGCCTTCATCACCTGGAGTGGCCTCCAACAGGGCAGTTACAATGAGACCACAGAGTCAGAGCCCGACGGCAAGGTGACTGTGAGGAGCAGCTACTGGCTGGAGCCCACGCACGAGAGCCATGGGAGGACACTCACCTGCAGGGTGGAGCACCCGGCCCTCGAGTCTCCAGTGGAGTACTCTACCACCCTGAACATCCACTGTGAGTAGTGGGCATGATAAATAAACAATAAGTCAGAAAGTTCAGTTGTCGAGATGTTTAAATGAGCCTGGATTGGTGGTCATCTCAATTGGCAGCCCTGACCCCATTCTAATCATTGCACCTTAGTACATATTGAAAACTCATTTCATAAGAGCTGATTTGTGTTCAGTTTGCTGTCCTTCCCCTGCACATCCAATTAGCACGGTTGACGACATACGGTGCCAAAGAAGTTTTACATACATGCATCGTGGATGAGTAACAATGCCCATTATTTACCCGGAAATGTCTCATTGAGTCATAGGTGTCTGTATAGGGAAGGCCCTAAGCAGGAATCGTTGGCTATATCCCATCGTCTGTGTTTGGCTTTGTGTGGGAGGAAATTGGAGTACCCAAGGAATATCCACACATACCAGGGGCTAATTCTCGAAGTTCCACACAGATAGATTCAATAATCCATCTGTCAATTGGTCTTTCTGTACCGTTGGGGTGTAAAATCTCTCATGAAGTTTACCCATTATAGCTATAAGTATCAGTTTATAGCTCCCACAGTTATTATGTCCCTTCTTAGAGGACAGTCCACAGTAGTGGATAGCACAGAGCTACCTCTGAGATCACTTTAAGTGACCTCTGTACCACACAATAGAGGGAAGCACTTAACTGATATTTAACTGTCTCTGTGTCTATGTCTCTCAGTGTCTCTGTGTCTCTGTGCCCCAGTTCCCCCGAAGCTCTTCCTGGAGTTGAACCCATCCCAGTTGGTCGAGGGCATGGGGCTGGTGACCGTGGCCACTTGCATCGCTCGGCAAGGACAACCCGCAGCCTCCATCACCTGGAGTGGCCTCCATCAGGGCAGCTCCAACGAGACCTCGGAAGCAGAGCCAGAAGGCACGGTGACGGTGAGGAGCCGCTATTGGATGGAGCCCACGCACGAGAGCCACGGGCGGACGCTCATCTGCAGGGTGGAGCACCCTGCTTGGGTACCGGCTCGAGTGGAGCTCTCCACCACCCTCGACATCCACTGTGAGTGGAGCACCGTGAAGGTTTAGCTTTATTGTTGATCTCTATTCCGAATAAAGTAGCCGTGTGAGCTCCACAGCCTCATGGTGCCAACCGCTGAATTTCACAAGCATGTTGTCTGTTCACCTTTCTCTGGTCTGACACTGGTGGTGAGACAAGGCCATGAAGAAGGCTGTCTCCGATGTAGGTCAATCAGTTTCACAGACAATGCATACATTATTTTGAGTGCATGTTTGTTTGCATACTTTACCACAAGTACGTGTGGTAAATGCAGACTTAATGCCTTGTGATAGGTATCTATTTGGCGTTTGAACATCTTGAACACCTAGTTTGTTGCCAGAAAAGACAGAACCTATTCTCTTTTGTTCTTTCGGTAAAGTCACGTAGTTAGAAATCAAATAAAATAAATCACGACGTTTCGATCGCAACACAAGCCTTATGACGACCGCTTGTGTTTTGATAAAAACGTCGTGATTTGTTTTATTTTATTTCTAACTACGTGACTTTACCGATAGAACCAATCAGTATGGATTCCTGCAGTCACGAAAGCTTCAAATCAAGAAAACCTATTCTTATTTTTCATAGGTTTTCATGAGGCTACACAGCTATTTGGCAGGCAGCGTCTTAACATTAATTGCTCTGTACTTCAATGTTGTGAATGTCTACGCTGCTCCCTACCATCACCAACCTCCACTGAACAATGTGGTATAGCAAAGGTTTCCTCGATTTACTCTGGTAGTAGATGCCTTCCGAAGAAAATGGCGCACAAAGCGAAACCGCATAAGCATAGAGCTGTCTGCAGAGTAGCGTACACAATACACACAAAGTAAACACACACAGTATACATCCAGAGTACACAGTACACATACAGGACGCAGAAAGTAGACACAGTACAAACAACACCGTACACACACACAATGTTGTCCCACGTCTGACCGTGTAGTAACATGTAAAAGATTTTGGTTAGATATTGCTTGGAATGTTACCGATTGCATATTTTTATTTCATGCCCACACACACTGTGTTATTGATTAATGTGTAGTTTTTGGTTCATTGTGGTTGTGCACAACTGGCAACGTAGTTGCACTCGTTAATTTATATTAGAGGGTGGTGGATAGTAATCATGCGACTCTCCTATATGGTGTACACAAATTAAGTTATTTGACACAGAGAAAGACCTTGAATATTTAGCAGCAGTTGAAGGAGCCCATGACTGTTGCCTCTTCTATTCGCAGACGAACCGAGAGTGAGCATCGCTGGCTATGATGGTGATTGGCACGTGGGGAAGGAAGTAGCTTCCTTGACTTGTGAAGTGGACGCAAACCCCAGCATCACGCGATATCTGTGGGGCAGGTAAGGGACCGCAATATATCATGAGGCCTCCTCTGGTGTGGACCAATCAGTTTCAAGGAGAATGCATAAATAATCAGAGTATTTTTTTTGTCTTCTTGAATCCCTGCAGTCACGAAAGCTTTAAATCGAAATTTATTGTTTTTGGTTTGCATTTTGACTGCAAGTATTGTGGTTAATGTAAACATGATTCCTTGCAAAAGGTTTCAGTTTTGTTGCCAGAAAAAAGTGGAAAACCCCTATTAGTATATTTTGGTACTGGCAAAGGAGGCCTCATGATCTAGATGGTTAGCCGGAGCCCTCATTACTCTGATAGTGCATTGTCTTTCAACTGTGCGCCTTTTAGCGTCATCTGATCGAACATTGTATGAGACTAGGCTTTAACGAAAGCTGTCTCTGGTGTGGACCAATCAGTTTCAAGGACAATGCATAAATTATCAGAGTATTGTTTTTTGTTTGCATTTTGACTGCAAGTATTGTGATCAAGAACAGTTCCGTCAAAATTGCTTCATAAATGCTGTGCACCAGTAACGGATTCTGCATTGGGTGCTGCATTTGTATTTGTGTGTCTATCAAACAAATCCCCTGATTCATAAAGGCTACATCAGACACAGAGTCAGTACACCTCTGAGATCCTCAGTCTAGATTTCAGATGCCCACGTTTTATTCTACTTTTTGTTGCTCCTGAGTGCACACACAAAAACATACATTTTGTTCACGCAAAATACGCTATCACATTATAACGGTGCACATTCCGCGTTATAACGGTGTGCATTCCTCATTATAACGCTGTACGTTATGCGTTATAACGGGGTGCGTTCCATATTATAATGGCACACGTTCTGTGTTGTTCGAAAAGCGTTCCAAAATGGCAGTCGCGTTACAGGCCAAAACAGGTTATAGTGTCACCAATGCCACGCATTAAACTAGGACTTGCCCATATTAGTACGTGTTTAGCACTTAAGCATAGTAGAAATGTAGATTTTTTTATGCTAACCGTGCGCTCCGAGTAAAACTAATGTAGAACTTTAGGGTCACCCTGCCCTCATTGGTGCTGCACTGGGATCGATGGTGAAGGTTCCTGCCCCTCCGAGACCGCCCTGAGACTCTCGTTGCTGCTCTGGCTGCCTCGGTGGTCCTTTGCCTTGTGGTTGGTTCTGGTCTCGGGTTGTTTCCATCTCAGGCTCTGCCAGCCATGGTGTTGGCTCTCTCAATCTCTTTCTCTCAGATCTCCAATGCTTCCTTACCTTGGCCACCAATCCCTTTTACCATAATCTACGTATGAGAGTGTGTAAGTGGTCTTGAAATGCAGGTGATATCGTCAAGTGAAAGCAATCAACCTCCAGGCAAAAAAGTGTTGCATCGAAGTTTAACAATTTAGCTACTGGTTTTTGGATTTTGTCCAGTCGTAAGCATCTATTCCATTATTTTGGCAAATTTCAGCTTCCCAGCCATTATAGAATATCATTATAATGTACCAAATGTAGTCATGACGAGATTCACTCTACTTCTGAACAAACAATTTAGTGGATAACAGATTGTAAATGACAGTGCTACTACGCCTCTCTAAATAAAATTAACGCTGAACCCGCTCACATATCCCGAGTTTCAACAGTGATTGGGACACCCCACCCTGCAACTTGCATAAGTTCATTCGAATTCCTCTTCTCAGTTTATGCAGCAAGTGTAATCACACGATGCTGACTGTGTGTCGCGCTCGCGCTCCCTGTGTTGTGGTGTGGTTTCTCGTAGGCAAGACGGCTCCCTGCCCAACGGGACAGTTATTAGTGGCAACTCCCTGTCCTTTGAGCGGCCGCTAGCGGAGTCAGACTCTGGGTCGTTCTCCTGCTGGGCCAATAACTCAGTGGGCTGGGGCGAGGCGGTGGTTATCATTACCATCCGGCCAGGTACAACCACCGCTGCTACAACCACTGCTGCTATCACAACAACAACAACAACATCAACAACTACATCCACTATGCCCGTGGCAACCACAACCACACCAGATATTCGCACGAAACTGACTTTCCTTATGCAGCAATCTCTCACTGGCACCAACAGATACAAGAGATGGCTCCTGTTTCAGCACCAAAACAGTTAATTACGGTGATGTGCAAAGTGCGGGAATGTCCTCACCCTGTATGTGTGGGGTTTATCCAGACATCCCATTTACTCGCTGTAATTAATAATACTAAAGCTATATAGTATTTACAGGGTCAACTTTAACGTGAAAAAAATACTCACCTACTCAAGTTAACGACCTCCTAGTTTCAAACACTTCCTCACGATATGCTCAAGCATGAGGATTGCAAATGACTGGGTCACTAGGTTCACGATGCGCATGTGTGGTTTCTGTGTTGGCCCCAATAATTTGGAACAATTATTTGCGCACAATTTGGTGTTAACAAGACACTGGTGTAACTATGACACCACAGCACTAGCATATACGATCAGTATTTGGACAGAAAATAGGATGGAACGATTTTCTCCAGGCATGATTGTTGCTTTATCAGTTTGCAAGAATTGTGGCAGTCTGTTACACAGTCCTTAATAAAGTTGCACTCAACAGTCCCCATGTGATCTATATCACCAAGACACCCAGCAGCATCGATTGGGTCACATCCTTCTGATGGGAGTCAAAAAGTAGAAACTGGTCAAAGAGTCACCCTACTTTCAAAGGCTTGCTGGAAAATTTTGGTGACGAAATAAATGCACTATTTAAAAAGGATGTTATTTTACCAGGTAGGGCCCATTTAGTTATTTATCCATTTTTCAGAAACGACCTGGCCACAAATGATAGCTCAACGAAGTGGCTTATCACGTGTAAATTAATAGCAACCAAATACTCTAAACGCATGATTCTAAATGTTGAAGAAAAAAACGGAGGATTGCAGAAAAATCCACACGACCACGAGATGAACATACAAACTCCAAATATACAGCAGTTGTCAGGTAGTTAACGTCTCACTACATTTAACTGATGGACCTAAATGTTTGCTTATACGCAACTCCTTTTAAACATCACCAAGTGTGGGGAAAACTTAAGGATGTTGAACTTTGAGTCTGGCCTCATACAAGGAAGCCAGAGGGGCCACCCTGTATCATTCATTCCACTGTCCCAACTCACCCCAGTTTCTTACTTTGGGCCAATCCACGCCACGTGCTTTCCCAGGCTATTAACTACACCTGGCCATTATCTACCTTAAAAGAGTGTTTACAGCAGGTCGTGAATCTTTCACTTCGAGTGAAATCGTGCAGCTTCATACTTCAGTGATTCACAACAGCGCTGGCCTCGACTTGAGATGTTTGAGGTTTATAAAGAGAGCTCAACGACTGATAGCTGTTTTAATTTATATAATAGGGGCGGTAAATTTAGTGGATGCCAACATTGGAGGCAGGAGCTACATTGCCTGAACTTTAATAATATTTCCTTTCCTCATAGTGCATGAAGTTAACTTCTTAAATGTATTATATGGCCATTCAAAGTTATTCTATGTTATTGCAAGGCCTGTGGGTAAACCACATTTGTGGTCTTTCCATTGGGCGCAAGTATGAAAAGGTTCCTCCTTGCCCCAACCCTAGAACATGCTATGTAAAGCTGCCTATGGGAGAAACAGGGAGTTAGAAGGTCAACCCCTGCAATCTGCAGCGACTGTCCTTGTGAACTATTGATGGAAATTTCCAAGGGCACACCCTGTCATTATAGTTGCCTCGATTACATTAGAAAGGAGCTTTCTCACACAGAGCCGACCTCCATTGCAGGATTTTGGATGATCCAGATTCCTTAGCAGCATGATAAGGGAACCTTTCTTCAGGACTAATATGTGAGATGGCATTCCTGGTGGCTGCAATTAATTGAGGAACTCTGTAGGATAATGTACTGCCTGGTCTGTTTCAAGAACGGTGTCAATTGACATGTATGTCCATTCTTCACCAGGTATCTGCTTAAGGATATAGTCATTGATACTGTTTACTGTATAATTTTTACGTGCAAGGAAGGCTCTTCCACACAGTCAGTTGAGCCAATTATCATAGGTGGGATCATGGAAGTGATTGAGTATTTTGGGGAAAACTTTGAAAGCTCTGGACCTGTGTTAACAACAGCGCCATGGTTGGCTAGAATTGTCACATGTCCACTTTGATCAACTGGGAGATTGCCATTGCTTATTCGCTGTAAGAAGTCTATGGTCACTATGCTGAGTGGTGGGGAGGTAACCTAGAAGGCAAAAATCCTGGATCACCCTGCAAAGGTTTCAGGTCTCTATCTTCAAAACTGTGTGAATGCATCCTGGCAAGCTAATATGCAGACACACATACATCCTCCTTTATTGATAAAGATATATATATACACGAATAAATAGAGGCCAAATATGTGGGTCAACTACTTTTTTGTGGGAGTCTATACCCACTGCATTGATGCATCATTAAGGTGCAAGGAGGAGGCAGTGTGGCAGGTACAAAAACGGTCATAATAGAACAATCTCATCAGATCAGGTAAGCTAAGCAAATTTGAGCGTGGTTAATAACAATGAAGGAATTTTGATTAGAATATCTGGTTAGATCACCCCAGACCATTCACAGCTTCCCAACTGGAAGTACACAGGTTGTAATCCTGCTTATAGTTTGATTAATACCTTGGATGATCTTCTGGGGGGGATTATCCTGCCATATGAATGTGTAATTTGAAACTATCGTCTCACCACGGCCGACATATTAAATAAGGACTGCTTATGAAAAAAATAAAGAGAATCAATGTGAGAGTTTACGTTGTATAATTTCTCATTATTTTTGTAAAGGGTTCTCGGGTATCTCACAATAGCCATGTTGCTGTCTTACAGGTGGTGATGGTGGCGTTGAGCCCTGGGTCATAGCCGTTGCTACCGTAGTGCCGCTGATGGCATTGGTGGCAGTGGTGGGAGCCGTTTACTACTTCTGCTTCCACAAGAACGGGAAACCTCTGAAGTGAGTTCCAGGCAACAAAACACTTATATAGAAGTCACTCATGTTGACTAACGGTATGTGTTAACGTTATGCCCGCAGGGTGCCAATATAGGCCAATCTGAGTGCTCATAAGTGCGGCTGAGCAGAGTCTTCAGCCAATCATCGACGCGAATCTATCAACGTTTAGACTTCAACTTGCTTTGTTTAACATTACGTTTTCTGTTTCAGCATGAATGTAATTCCTATATTCGATTAACAGTTATGTCAGTTAACAGTAAATTTCATTGAACGGATTAAAAAACGTTACCGTAGTAGGTAAATGCATATTTAATGAGAAACGTCATGACAACTGAATTCAGTCCCGTCTGTCAGGTCTCCTCTATTAATCTATGTTCCTCAAGTCAATTATTATTCATGTTCCTGACCGCAACTCCCAACCGTCAAACCCCCCATTGGCTGACCAATCATCAGCTGAGACAACCATTACTATCGCAGGCATAAAACAGAATTACAAATGTTGGTAAAAAATAATTAATGTTGTTATTTTCCAATCCACGGCTGGGAGGTGACTTACCCATACTTCACAAAATCTGTCAGTGCGGGTTGAAGGTGGGCAGCATAGATAGGGGAGTATAGAAGTACTGTACAACACGGGATTTTACAGCACCCGCCCTCTGATATTCATAACGTGGCCCAGGGGCAGCAGCCCCCATTGTTGAGTGATTGAGGTGCATCCCAGTATACCGAAGCTGCCGGGTAATCGATGATCAACTGTATGCCCACATCATAGAAGTGTAGTATTCTTGAATGAGACCGACACTTCGTAGAGGCCACACGCTTTTATTCCGATAACACTAGTCCTCAGGACTCACTGGGGAAACAGTCCCACACACACAACCTAGGGAGGTACAGCCTCCGGCTCTATTCTCATTTCTCTCCTTCCCTAGCCTCCAGCTACTCTGTTACTCTCTTCCCTAGCCTACAGCTACTCAGCTACTCTCTTCCCTAGCCTACAGCTACTCAGCCCACTCAGTTCCAGCGGGGCGGCATCCTTGAGGCTTGGGGGTCCAGGATCTCCGGCTCTCCTCCTTCAGCTTCTCCTCCGATCGACCCCCTCCGCTCTCCGGGAGCCGTCTTATATATCCCCTCTCTCTGAGGGGCGGGGGTGTCTCGGGCCCTGGCTCTCGCCAGCCCCCTCCCCTCAGAGCCGTTCCAACCACCTCTCGTCCCTGTCGATCCGGGCCGGTCCAGACCGGTACGTACCTCTCCCCTAGCTTGTGTGACCTGTGTGACCTGTGTCAACCTTGGTGTCAACCTTGACCACCACATCACCCCCCCCCTATACAGCACGCAGCCGTCCCGGCTGCATCACTATCCACATCCCAACCCTAACTCGCGAACCAGGAATTCTGAACACGACAAGAACAATGCGTGAGCCTCAACACAACAATAACAACAACAGAACAACAACAACACAACTATCCCCGATAATTTACCCCAACCCCCCTGTACACAAGAACACCGCGGACACACCACACCAACGAACAAGGTGACTCGAACACCCAGGCCCCGTGAGGAGGCAGTGTATCTGCGACAGGTCTCAGGAGAACCTGAGACCCTTCGAACGAGTCCGTGTGGCGGGTCCATCGCCAGAAGCCAGCGTTCCTTGCGGAGGGTCAGGAGGGGCCAGATGACGGGCGTCCGGCACATTTCGAGGCCCCGGGGACACAGCCCGCGAGCCGTCTTCCTGCTGGACAGGCGGCCGGCTCGCTTCCCGCTCCTCTGGCGAGACCACCCTAGGTGGACTCACACCTGCAGCATCCGAAAGAGTGGCAGGGGGTTTTGGAACAACAAGGGGGTCACGAGGCCCCTCCCCCAACCTGCCGGACACGTCACGCGGCCGGCCCCTGCGAGATGAAGGTGTGTGAGTGCGTGGTGCGACATAGGGCTTCAGGCGCGAGGGGTGCACGTACCAAGAACGCCGTCCGCACGCGACCCTAACACACTGGTCCCGAACGACCCGAACAATGTCGACCGGCCCCCGCCAGGGCCGCAGCAATTTCGATGACGTCGACAGCGGCACCTGCGGGCAGTGCAGCCACGCCTTATCCCCTACCGCCCATTTATACACCGTAACCCGGCGATCATACAGACGCTCATTGGCCCGTTGCCTTGCCCTGGAATTTTCCTGCGCGGCCACCCTCGCCTCGACTAACTTCCGAATATTGAACTGAGCGTGTTCGGACAGTTTCGAGCGAGAAGCCGCAGACTGGACCCGCAATTGCACCTCCACGGGGGGGTCGACTTCCCTGCCATACATTAAGTAGAAGGGCGAATAGCCCGTGGCCGCGTGAGGCGCTAACCTATATGCGGCCAGAACTCCGGGAATCTTCAGGTCCCAATCCAACTGTGTGTCGTCTACCTGATGACACAACATAGAGGTAATGGTCCGGTGTAGACGTTCGACCATACCATCGGTCTGCGGGTGGTAGGGGGAAGTCCGGACCTTCTGTGTGCACAAAAGGTCACAAACCTCCCGCAGAAGATTGGACGAAAAGTTCTTTCCCTGGTCGGTTAGCAGCCGTTCCGGGGCACCCTTATCCAGGACGTAGCCCTGGAGAAACGCCTCCTTAATGGCTGCTGCCGACTGGTTGGGGAGGGGCCAGGCCATAGGCCAACGGGTGAAATATTCAACCCCAACCAGCAGGTACTTATTTCCCCGAGCGGTGACAGGGAAGGGACCCAGAATGTCAAGAGCCACCAACTCATTAACCCGGGACACCTAAATGGACTGAAGGGGTGGGCAAGCCGCCCTAGCCGGGTGTTTCCGCTGCGCACACTGTGTGCAACTATTCAAAAGGTCGGCGACATCGCGCGCCATTCCCGGCCAAAAAAAATCCAATTGCAGTGTAGCGAGCGTTTTGTGAATACCTAAATGCAGGACGCGTTCGTGCGCCGCCCACACGGCCCTGCCCCGCAGAGCGGTGGGGACGACGATTCTGTAACGCCCCGAGCTGGCGTCCCATGACATGAGGAGACCCTCCCGCAACCTGACAGTACCTACCCTTTCCTGACAATCTCCCCCTCTCTCCGCACGACGGCGTAACCTGAGGAGGGAATTGTCTTCCATCTGGAACCGTCCCCATTCGTCCAGAGGCAGATCGAGGAGTGAGTCGCGAGCGACCAACACCTGCGAGTCCCCCTCGGCGACAGGTTCCCTATCGACCACCCCTGCTGCCGCTGCCAAGGGAGAAGCCGGAGCGGTACTCGTGGCCGATTTGCATCTCCCCGAGCCCATAAAACACGCGCACCCATCACCCGGAGGAAGGCGTGACAAGCCATCCGCGTTCAAATGTTGTGTCCCCTTCCGGTACACCACCGTGAACGTGTAGTCCTGTAGGACCTCAAGCCAACGTGAAAGCTGGCCGGACGGCTGGTCTATTTTCAACGCATACTGTAGCGCGGCGTGATCGGAACGAACCGTAAAATGCCTACCGTACAGGTACGGTCGATATTGTTGAACAAACACGACAATAGCGAGCAGTTCACGGCGGGTGACGCAATAACGTTGCTCTGCCGGAGACAGGACTCTACTGCCGTAGGCAACGACCCGTTCGACCCCGTTGACAACCTGCGAAAGCACCGCGCCGATGCCGGTATTGCTGGCATCGGTGTCCAGGATGAAGGGCAACGTGAAATCGGGATAGCACAAGGGAGGAGCTCGGACAAGGGCATCGCGAAGCGCCCTGAACGCCCTGTCTTCCTCTTCCCCCCAATGGAATTTAGCCCCCTTAGCCGTCAGAGCATGAAGGGGTTTGGCGATCGTCGCAAACCCCTCAACAAACCGGCGGTAATAGGACGCAAAGCCTATAAAGCTGCGGACTTCCCCCACAGACGTGGGCGTGGGCCACGACCTTACACAGTCAGTTTTAGCAGGATCGGTGGCTATACCCGTAGAACTGACAACGTGGCCGAGGTACCGCACCGATTCACGCAACAGGAAACATTTCTGAGGCTTAAATTTAAGGTTAGCCGATCGCACTCTGAGAAATACAGCCCGCAGTCTGTCCAGATGTTCCTCAAACGTACGGCTGAAAATAATCACGTCGTCCAGATATATAAGACAAGAGTCCCACTGCAGGCCAGCGAGGACCAGTTCCATCAATCTCTGGAACGTCGCTGGAGCTGAGTGCAATCCCATGGGCAACCGGTTGAACTGATAAAGGCCCTGTGGCGTACGGAACGCGGTCTTAGGTTTGGAAGCGTCATCCAAGGGCAGTTGCCAAAACCCCGACAAAAGGTCCAAGGTTGAAAAATACCGTGCCCCCGCCAAGGCATCGAGCGACTCGTCCATGCGAGGGAGTGGATACGCGTCCGCCAGCGAAACCTTGTTAAGCTTCCGAAAATCCACACAAAACCTCAAACTGCCATCATGTTTTTTAACAAGCACAATGGGCGCACCCCATGGGCTGTTGGAGGGAGCCACAATGTCTGCGGCAAGCATGTCATTCACTGCCAACCGGACATGTTCCTTCTCTGCCGGACTTAATCGGAACGGATTTTGCCGAATGGGAGCGGAATCCCCCGTATCAATGTGGTGTTTCAATAGATTAGTGCACCCAACATCGAATTTGTGTTTGCTAAAAACATCGGGAAAATCACGAAGCAACATGCGCAGCTTGAATCTTTGTGACTCTGAAAGATTTTCAGCCCCTGAACAGAGAGAATCCATCCATGCCTCATCGACACCCACCTGCGTCCCGGACGCCGGCGCCTCACCGACATGAGCTGCAACAGAGTCAGTGTGCAGCGGCAGCGACGCATGTGCAATGACAGCCCCTCGGTGCACGACCTTCGTCCGCAACCCCGCATTCAGCACCTGAATGAAGGGCTGTCCATCTCTAGGCACAAGCGTTTGTGCACCCACCAGGTCCAACCCTCGCTCGGTCGTATTTGAAGGAGACAACAAAACCCCCGACGTAGCGTCTGCCTCCAGTGGTCTGCGTAACTGAAGCGGTATCAGCATCTGCGCACCCGGCGGAATCCGCACGGTTTCAGATGCCATAGCCGGAACAGTCGTGCAAGCTGTGCGCAGCCGGTTTGGTGAGGGCAGAAACGCCATCCGGCGGCCCGAAGGAAGCTCGATGCAGCCTTTGTCAATCAAAATTTTGATGGGCATCCTCCCCAAGAAATCCGTACCCAACAGACAGGGAACGGCCAAGGCATCGGAAACCAAAATGGGACCAGATAATTTAATGTCGCCAATACAAATTTGTGCAGTTATTTGGCCAATGATCCCCAGGGAACCCCCATTTGCCGCAAAGCAAGGGACGGAGAACGGGGTGAGTGCCTGACATCTCTTTGGTAACACGTTGTATATGAGGTCGGAGATTATAGTAGCCGAAGCCCCCGTATCGACCAACAATCGAAATTGAATTCCCTCAATATCCCCGAGAATAACCGACGAGCCCGTCGCCGCGGCCACGACCCTGTGGGCCAACTCGGACCACTGAACCGCGCGAAGTGGCCCCCGAACATCAGCCCCATTCCGCTCCCCACCCCTCAACGCAACGCGATTTACTGGTGTGCCGATTCGCGGTGTATGAGATGCGGGCAGGGACCGTGTGCGTGAGGTGTCGCGACATGCCTGGGGGTCTTGTGGAGCGGCCGGCGGACGGGCGGACGATGGTGGATGACCCGAAGCCCGGCGCCAGGGTGCTGGGCAACCCGATGCCAGGTGACCCAGCTGGCCACAGTTATAGCACGTGACGCCAGCCCACGCCCGCGGGGATCCGTGTCTCCCCCGGTTTTCCCCTTGGCGAGGCCGGTCGGCCCCCCTCCAACTGGCGGCCCGCTGTGACGCGAAGGCCTGGGCATCCGGGACCTCGTCCACTCTTGCAGCGGCGCACGCAGCCACCTGCCCATCCCGCTGGAGGAGCAACTCTGTGTGCAGGTAATGTGCCGCCCCCAGCGAGGAAAGGTTAGCTTCATCTTTGACGTGGATGGCAATCCTCAGTTCCCGAGCCAGCAGCAGCAACTTCTCCAGCACGATGGAGTCCAGGCCCACATCGTCCATTCGAGGGTAGGCTGCTTGAGCCAACGCCATCAGTGCACTCTGATAGGCAAGAGGTGTCTCGTCCGCCTCCCTCCTCCGACTGGCGAAACGATGTCTAGTTTCGGATGGAGGTCCATACACTAAGGCCATCCGATCGAGGGCCTCCTGCAAAGTGGAGCGTTGCCTCCGTAGAATAAGGAGGAACGTGGCCAAGGCCACGTCGTCCAAGGCGGAAGGCAGGGCTCGGAGAGCGATGTCAGCAGACCACCCAGCCGTCTCGGCATTTGCCACGAAACGGCGTGAAAAAGCAGCCCAGTCCCCCCCCTTTGCCGTGAAAACCTGAAGCGAAGGCAAGCGCTGTTGTAGCGCCGGGATGTAGTCCCCCCTCGAAGACAGCAGCGTCCCAAGTGCAATATATGAAGCATTTTCCGGCGGCAGAATATCAGACGGAATCGGCGGGCACCTACCCGAAAACTCTGCTTCTCCCGATGTAAGGCCGCAGATGGCGGATGTGACGCGGGCCACCTCTGCCCCCTGACCTCCTGGGCGGTTGACGTCATGTCCCCCGGAAGCGGTGACCCCCCCGGCGGAAGTGACGTCATCCCCGGCGGCCGCATCCCCGGCGGAAGTGACGTCTCCCCCTCCGGAGGTGACGTCAAAGTTTTGCGCGGGAATGGCGCGTTTCTCGGCGGGAACCCGTCCCATCCTCCGGCCTGGTACTCCACCCGGCGCTCCCGCTCCCCCCAGCGTGAGCTCGTCGAGGATGGAGGCAGCGGCATGGAGGAGATCGGCCAGCCGGGCATGGGCTGACTGGATCGCCCATCCCGACGTCGGCGGACTCCTGGAGGGCCCCGGAGAACCCGAGCCCGCCCCCGCAGACCCGTCCCCCGGAAATGGCGCTCCCGCCTCCGGCTCAGCGTCTCCCTCGACGTCCTTCTCCTGGCCCCTGGTGAGCGTTTTCTGTCTTGTCTCCATGTCGGCGAGGTTCTTTGGCCGCTTCTAACACCAATTGTAGTATTCTTGAATGAGACCGACACTTCGTAGAGGCCACACGCTTTTATTCCGATAACACTAGTCCTCAGGACTCACTGGGGAAACAGTCCCACACACACAACCTAGGGAGGTACAGCCTCCGGCTCTATTCTCATTTCTCTCCTTCCCTAGCCTCCAGCTACTCTGTTACTCTCTTCCCTAGCCTACAGCTACTCAGCTACTCTCTTCCCTAGCCTACAGCTACTCAGCCCACTCAGTTCCAGCAGGGCGGCATCCTTGAGGCTTGGGGGTCCAGGATCTCCGGCTCTCCTCCTTCAGCTTCTCCTCCGATCGACCCCCTCCGCTCTCCGGGAGCCGTCTTATATATCCCCTCTCTCTGAGGGGCGGGGGTGTCTCGGGCCCTGGCTCTCGCCAGCCCCCTCCCCTCAGAGCCGTTCCAACCACCTCTCGTCCCTATCGATCCGGGCCGGTCCAGACCGGTACGTACCTCTCCCCTAGCTTGTGTGACCTGTGTGACCTGTGTCAACCTTGGTGTCAACCTTGACCACCACAGAAGCAAGGAGATGGTGAAGATTAATATGCCTGCCTATCGCCTGAGTTTGTAAACCCTACGAATTGGGGTAAAGCACACGGTGGTGACCCATGGCACTCCTTGACGGTGCAGTGATGCATGGCAAAAGCGTTCCTTATCTATATACAGCAGACTCTTGATTATGATGGGGAGGATGGCTGCCGATAATTAAAAATCGTTGATAATCCAAAGTTTCATCAATTAAAACTCACAAAATCAATGATCAGATAAATCACTCAAAATTAAGCACAACTGACAATTTCGATTTAGATAGAATACTAATAGTTGACCAAACGATGTGCGTGCCCAGTGATAACACTTTCCTGCTCCCGCACCTACTAAATGGATAGCAGAACCACGCAAATCAACATCAATCAGACTCTGCCCACTGTTGTAACGATATGCAACTACTGTACTGTAGAGGTGATCACGTGGATTTTGGATAAACCGAAGCAACATTTATCCGGTTTAAATAAGTAACTTGTAATACACATTTCCAAGAATAACAATGTATAAAGGTTTTTAGATGATTAGTTTGTGCTTGAGGGAACATTCATGAGTTATTAATTTATGTTAAAATCCCAGGTGCGTGGTTAGTTCCTAAATCACATAAAGCGCACGTGGATAATCGAGTCTACTGTATAGATTTAACATGCGCAAGTGTCATGTCTGTCCATCACGCTTTGCATCTCGTACACGGTAAGTCATACAAAAACATAAAACGTGTTTCTCTTGGTGAGGACATTGCCACAAAATTTACCTTGGAAATTCCAAACAAATTAAAGTCCAACACAAAGAAATCATAGCCGATATATTCTGAGAGCGACTCTTGTTACATTAGTGGAGTCATCCTGAAGTTGGGTTCCCCATCGATTTATATTTAAACGTCATCATCCCTTATGCCATGCCGAATGGCCTCAGCTCATATAGGGTGACATCACCCGTTAGGGGCTGAATGACGATGTGATGAAATCACTGCATGTAACTCTGACTCCTCACTCAACGTGTTTGCGGGGGGACAAGGGCTTGTAGAAGTTATATCCCTCGCAAATACACGGGCAATGCTCGTGTAAATGTCTAATACACGGCAGACGGCATATATCAATAAGGAGTCTCTTCTTCAATCCACTCTCTCACCCATACTAGATGGCACTTCATACTCTGTGACAAGTGGTTAGCCGAGTGTCAATCGCCCTACACATACGAATTCATCTCTCAAGAGATGAGATATGCCATAACTTAAATTCTGGATGTTGACAAATGGATCAATGCAATTGGTTATTTAAATATTAGATAATGAACAGCCGACTGCAGCTGTATACATTGTTTGTTTGTGGGACAATGATTATATTGAAATGACACTGCTCATTGTAGAATGTATACTGGAATATAAACTAATACGGCATATATATATACACACAACATTGCGATATTACGTTTCACAATCCCTGCAGGCGAAAGGGTGAAGATGAAAATGACCAGCAAAGAGCCCCAGTTGAAACGGTAAGTGTTCAATTAAGTGACATGCATTGACACAAATTACAACAGCACAAAGGCACTTCCACATCTTTGGATAATAATCTACCTGCAAAGTGTTCACGCAAGTGTGGTCCAGTCCATCCATTCAAGGACGACTGTTGTCCATCGATTTAACGAATTTAATTGGTTCCCGCGAAAACCATTGTTAATTGAAATGATCGTTAATCGAATATAGGATATTTGTTACAAGACAATCGGAAGTTGACCTTTTTCACCATATAAACAGTTACAATATGTAAACACACTCAACGAGAAACAAATTATCATGCTCCGCTGCAACCACTCTGACCACATCACCGGAATCTGCCAGAACTTCCCTCTGGAACAAATGTGGAAAAATTAAGCGATAAAGCTGCTGAATGGAGTCAGTGAGGAATCACCCCCAGTGACAGTTCACGTCTGGGCTCCAATTCCATAGTGCTCACATGGCGGAGACTAAACAGACTTAGTGAGTTTCGATTTAAAGCTTTCGTGACTGCAGGGATTCATCTTCTTGGTTCTTTCGGTAAAGTCACGCTCTTTTGTTAAGGCGCTCTTTCTTCCACCTCCAACGCAGCTTATATATAAGCTCCTAGCTTGGCATTGTCTCATTCTTCACCTGAGGACGGCTGCTTGCGTTGTGGCCGAAACGTCGTGAGAATTGTTTTATTTTTATTATTTTATTACTTCCCTTCTACGTGACTTTACCGAAAGAACCAAGAAGAAGACTTAGTGAGCTTTGGCAGACGCAACTCTCTCATGGAATCATGGGGGCGGCTTGTGCATGAACAACCAATATGTTTATCAGGAGAACCAAACTACACAGACCGTCTCTTGAGATACTCTGCAGCACCCATAATGCACTCATCAATATTTGATAATACCAATTCCAGAAGTGGTGGCCTGTGCAGAATATTGGGAAAAGACCGTATAGGTTGGACAGGAGACACGACGAAGGCGAAGACCAGTTAAAATGAATGGCTTCTACTCTTAAGTAGGTCAACTTTGCTGCTTGTCCTCTGCTTTGAAGAGCCTATTTTTTTCCACGGCCCTTCAACCTGAGTGAAACATCGGGCATCATGCCGAACACCACACACAGCATAGCCGCCATTCGCCACTATGTGTTGGTGACATCACCACGGTGTTTATGCTAGGCTATGTGCACTTTAAAGCCACGTGAAGTGTCGAACGGCCGCTGGCAGGACGTCATGGGACAGACCCAGCAGGAGCCATGGGTTGATTGACTGAGATGACTGGCTGATGCACCACCTGTGCCCCCTACTGTGCCAACCCACAAGTACAATGAAGAACAAAAACATTGGATGACAACGGAGTGGCGCTACAACACTTCCTGTCACATTATTTATGTGACCCGATATTCTTGGAATGTCGCTTTTTGGTGAAGTGAGTGGAACGCCTTGGGGTGCTAGATTTCACATGGAACTAGCATAAGTACCCGGCGTTGCCCGGGTGAAAAATATATTTCTTAATAACCTTACATATATACACAGATGGGCTGCTACCCCTGCCCCCCCCCCCCAGCCACGATCTCCTCGGCCGCTGTGCAGTAATATGTACGGCCTATAGTGTGGTGGGGTGTCGAGGCCTAGTAGCGTGCAGAGCCTCCGGCCTCGCCTAAATTGCCCACCCGGCTGAGGCTGGGTACGGGTGCCGTTCCCCCCCCCCCCCCCGCGCTACAATAATACTGTCTAATCGCTATATTTTTATAATCTACCGACCCTATAATAGTAATTGCACACATTGTGGTGGGGGGGGAGTGAAGAGGACGTGAAACTTTGATGAATTTACCTCAGAGTCGCGTGTTAATGCGTGCGCCTATTTTTAACGGGAATTAAAAATGGCGTCCACCCCGCGGCGAATGCGTCGCTACCCGTTGCCAGGGGCAACCGCCGGACCAATCGTGTCTCGCAAATCCCTGACATTTCGTCCAATGAAACTGCGTATGGTCCGATACACAGACACACACACAGACAGATAGACAGACAGATTCGCGATTTTATATATATAGATTACCGTCATTACCGGTTGACTATCAGCAAGACCAACGCCTCCATCCCACTGTAGTTGACTGAATTATCACACACGATTTATACGTAGGCTTTCACGACCAAATGTTATGATTCGTACGTAAGTTTCTGTTTGGGTTACATCAGGAGCCTTTGGTAACAGCTGATAATGATGGATGTATTGCCCAGAGGGAAATATTGCATACAATTGTCACAATGTAGCTTGGGGTTTTTCAACGTTGCGGTTTGCTGCTAAACCAAATGGAATGGAATATTTGCTAAAGTGACAACTCGATTTGATTGGCGACCAGAGTTGTATTCCCACTCACAACACCAGGGTCAATTATGTGAATGGATCCTGGGCCTCCTCTACGTCGACTCTGCCTCAAATGAGTACCTGGTGTGGTGTGCAAACATCACCACTGGGGAGTCAAAGACCAGGTGTGGTGCTAGCCACCCACCCCCTCATTTGCCGTGCTGGCCTTTAAAGGTGCTCAAATACAGCACTTGGCCCAACAGTCTGTTAAAGCTATACGGGGGGTCTTTGTCTTTGTGTGCAATCTTCGGGACTCATTGCACCATGTCTGACGAGAAAGCCAGCATCAGGAATCAAGGTAAGTGAAAATAAAAAAAGATTTATTTATCTATTTGTTACTTTATTTAACGTTTTTTTTTTACAATACAATATTTCTAAGAGTATTACATGCAAATGTACAATGTTTCTTATTTGTGAGTTTAACAATGCTTCCCCTTTTGTGTTAAACCAAACACACATCTTATAACACTAACAGTATGTGCATTTAAATGCGGCACATTTTTGTATTCTGACTTACGATGCGTTCCACTTAGGAACCAGCCTCAGGAGGAACAGAACCCTGTTCGTAAGTCGATGACTGCCTCGTACCTCTCAATAATATCTCTTCCCCCTCTCATTCAGCCGCAACACAAAGAGCTTCCGTACGAATACATCGACAGCAAGCTGCCATCCCGCAGTGTGGCGTTAGAACGGCCACCCTTGGGGGGTGTCACGGCAATGCCTGAATATGACACTGTGCCTGAAGAACTCTCTTCTTGGTATGTCCGAGCATTCAAGCCATTTTTCAATATCGACTTTAATAGCAGCTTTTCATCTGTTTGTTTGGATGGAAAGAGCTCACCAAATACTGTGTGTGAATTGAACGACTAACGGATGTATTATTAACAGTTGAATTGATCAATAATTTGGCAAAAGTTTACAAGGTTATTTAATTGGCATTTCGCAATACAAAAAAATGAGATCGAGGAAGGGAGTTACCGTGTACCCCCGAGTGATCTCCATTGGCATTTAAGCTGTTTATTCTTCACAGGAACTGTAGATTATACATTTATACACTGTAGTCTTTAGCAATATGCCATGTGTGTTGCAACGGTTAGGAAGCTCAACGCATAACTGGAAGGTTGTAAGTTCAAATACTTCCAAAAAAGAGCTTTGGAGTTCATCGTAAATACTCCAGGATAAATATTCTGATTGTGAGTGTATAAAATGAACATCACATTGTGAGCTTCAGAATTATGGTGATTTATATCCGTGAAATATGTTTCGTGTTATAAATTGTGTTCTCTAGTTACAAGTCCAGACAACCATAATAGAGTTTTCTGGGTTAGATCGTGTAAATATATAAATGTGTCGTTAAACCCGCCACCACCCGACAGCCAGTTAGAAAGGTTTGTCACGTAAACAGAACATGGTGTGTTGAAGAGCAAAGCCACAATGTCTCGGCCTCGCTGTGCGCTGCATTGCACAACTATCCGAGTAGATAACCTCGCATACAATAAACCTTCAGAGCCAGGGTCAACATCTGACTCCAAACGTATTTAATGAATTGAACGAGGTAAAACCGATGGAAAAACACAGCACAAATACAGCATATGTTAATACTTGGAAATATCAATACAATGAATGAACACTACAGCATCATAACGTTGTCCTAAATAACATGAAACTCAACAATAGATCCTGGATAGACCAGGCACCTACATTAGTACTGAATAGCTATACAAGAGAATAAGCTACTGTGTTAAGTGAGGGCACATCGTGTAATCACCATACTGCAGCCTAAATGTACAGCACTACACATAACACTGAACTGTGGATGAGATATTTCGTCATCCTTGCTCTCAAGATCGCAATAAGGTTACATGGGTACAAGTCTGACTCGACTTATTCAATTACAAGTAACATTCACAATAAGGCAAGTGGCAGGCTTCGTTGTTAACTAGGCCTCATATTTGTCATAACAATTCAATAGCATTATAACGGCATTTACAGCATTATAACGATCATTATAACATTATAACAGCATTCCCAGTATTATAAGAAGATAAACGAACTTACAGATAATGCTTCTTAAAGTCCCAAAATGAACAGTTGCACCTGTCTTCACTGGGACGCTATTTGTGCCACCATGTTGTACTCTGTGTAATGGCTGATACCCTGCTGCATGGCTTAGAGGATGTCCAATCGTAACTTCCTGGTCACGTGACCAAACTCAACATCCAAACAGGAAATTCCTGTGTACACACACCCCCACACCTGCCGTGAGGCAGACCACACAACATTTATAATCTGAGTACGACGTTTCACCAGTAATTACAACCAGCATCATCAGGCGGCAGCCAGATTTGTGGAGAAATCCTGTTTCGTTCTTAAAAGAGGGGTAGAGATGTGATAACGTGACTTGTGAGCCCTCTTTGAGCGAAATGAGGGGGGGGGGGGGGGATTAATGAATGCATATAAATGACAATGGGTAACCCTTTCCGATTGGTTTATTCATATGGTAATCAACATACATTATGCATGCCTGAAACTAGCCTACATCGTTTTTGCTTCGTAAATGTAATGCTCTTAAGTTCATTGCAAAAAAAATACATTAGATCGTAATGGTTTGAAGTCGTGTACTTGATTACATTTTTACCAATGTTGCATATACGTTGGCAATTGGAAGTGCTACAATTTGATAAAACAAAGTCAGTGTAGAAGTTGACGTGGTTATTTGTCTTCAGAAAATGATAGGAGAAGACAACAATGAGCTACTCATACTGTTTGTGTTATGTAACTATTTAAATGATGCGCAGATTTTACAATTTTAATTAATTCACCTTTTTTTTAAACTTCACTCTTTCAGGAACCGCATGCAACATCTGGATGAGAGAATAGTGAGTTCTACCGAAACGGTGGGTGAATTTATTCTGCTGCCTACCTCTTCCAACACAATTAATATAATTAGAAACGTCAAATGTCGTTGAGATCCGACCAATTTACACATTGAACGCAGCTTCATTGCATCCCATGTCTCATACTAAATACTTCGTGAATCTTATAATGCGTTTGCACTCTTCTCTATTCACGGTGCAAAAGTGTTCAGGATCCTGAGTTTGGGTGCGTGCATAAGATGCTAACAATTTCATGTCAGTAAGTTAGCCGGATGAAGGGTCGGGAGACAGGGACCTAGGATAAGGGGCATAACCCCTACAGACTAGATGGGAACCGGACTCAGAGGGGTGGAAGGAAAACATTCTCGTTAGGGTCGTCTCTTATGTTTTTCTTAATGTCAGGCGTGTTTCGGTTATATCCCTCCCTGCCCTTGTCATCCCCCCCCCCCCCTTTAAAAAGAAAACTACCTTTACCCCTTTCTTTGTGACCCCATCTAATTTGGGGCAGCGAGAGGTCCCACTCCCCATCTCTCTATCCCCTGCTTTATTTTATGTTGACGGTGTGTGTACGTGCGTCACGACGCGATGTAATTGCCTGAATAAAAATATAATTAAAAATTGTAAACGATAGTTTAAAAAATATATGATAATTTAATGTCAGTATCGCATATGCAACTTGTAAGTTCATTCTAGATTTGAAGCTTTCCTGACTACAGGAATCCATCCTCTTTTGTTCTTTCAGTAAAGTTTACCGAAAGAACCAAAGAGTTTGTAAGTTCATATTGTAAGAAAAAAAGAGTGATTTAGACAATCAAGGAGGTTGTGATTGGTGGGGGCGCATGTGCAGGATGGTCGTGGGTGGGGGTGGTCATGTTATAATTGATACGGGCATTAGAGTGACACCCAGAGGCCAGAAACCAGCTGCGGAAACAGCTGATATATTTGGCAGCGAGAGATAATAATCTATGGCAGATAATGGTGGAATGAATATTAAATCCTCCTTGATACTATTGTGACCTCTTAACCTTGATATGCCTACCAACTCTCTTACATACTATGGTATATGTAGACCAATTTACCGTTGAACCTGGGTGTAACCAGCGGCCACTTTTGAGTCGTCGCTTCCTTGCTCTCTTGCCGGACAGGGTAGAGTCTGTTCTCCTATAACACTGGTCAACACACTTTTTCTGGCATAAGGTATTCCAACGATTTTAAGGTAATTTTGGGGTGCTGATTCCAAATTTGTCTATCACATCATGTTTTTGAGATATCAAATATTGCATTTTGAATAAAAACTGCAGAAGAAAAATATTAAATAAATGTGGATATCTACATAAAATGATATTAAAAACACACTATCCTAAAAATACAGCACCATATTTTAACACTAAAGCAGTCACTGACTCGCACAAATTTGCAATCATAAGTGACAGAGTTAATTTTGGGTAAAATCAATGAAAATGGGGTATGCCGATAGCATAAAAATGATGTGATAGAGCAAATCTGAGATCACATTTGGAATCAGCACCCTGAAATTAGTCTAAAACAGCTGCAAAAGTCCAGGCCAGAAAAAAATATATTTGTTTTGCCGACCAGTGTAATCAGTCGTCGTTGCATTCCTGAAGAACACCGCATTTTGGAAAAAATGCGTTTTAATAAATTATATGAGATAAAGCACAGTCTGTGATAACGTGTGAGATGTGTACGTAGGTCGAACAAAGACTGAGGCACGTGGGTAGCATCTAGAAGCATCCAGCAACATCCCGCCTTATGTGATGCTACGCCGAGGCAGCCGTACAAACCGCTTATTCCTACCCGCGCGACGTAGTTCTGTTCACTCAATTGCGTTATATTAAATTTGCATCCGTGTTATGAAAAATATGTTCCCTAATACACGAATTACATGATATGTAATTCGCGTTACGAAAGCACGCATTACACAGCACATAGAACATTGCAATCCTGCCTCCTTCTGTAACCACGTGGGGCAACGCTAGCACCAATTGAACACCCTGTGCATTAAGAGCTTCTTTGCATTCCTGCATAAATACGCAAGAATAATGCTCGCTGCGTTGATAACATTTGATTTTTAAACAACTTTTGTTCCAAAGAACATTGCGTCTGAATTTAACCCTAATTGTGTACTTTCCGCGAAATATCCCATTGCAGAACCCACCAAACCAAACGGCCAGTAGTCACTACGAGGTAAGAGCTTCATACACAGAAAGACATCTGTTAACTAAGGATGACTTGGAACAATGTAATATAATTACATTTAGATGGACTGTTAAAAATAGGCAATGCCAAAGCCAAATGTTAAAGTGTCTCTGCTCAGACAAAGCGTCGCTTAGTGATGATCTCCATTGGTGGCTCCGAGTCACATGGTGCCAATTCCAATCGGAAGTGCGGGGGGAAAGACAACATCCTTAACAGAACAAGCAGTTTTAAAGAAATGAGTTTGCAATCTAGATTATAATTAAAAAGTGCCATAGCTCCCAGTAGCTTCCTAATATTGGAAGGGAAACGACGTTCCAGACGGCTGCAGAAGCGCATCCAAAAGCGCACCCAGATGGTCGATGAGAAAAGTCGACGACGTCTGCCGCTACGATGTGGAAGTTCTCCATGTGGATTTTTTAAAAAATACCGGAAAATCAATCAATCATTATTTAAGATTGCTTATTTTTGTACATTCTTGAAATACATTGTTTTTAGGTGTTGTGTGTATGTATTTTTAAATTATGTTTTAAGTTTGTCTACTCTATGAATTTGGCATAAATAATTACTGTACGGTACTTACCACTCCAATCTTGAAGACTCTGCACCCGGTGATGTACTTACTATGCTCTTGTTTCAACAACTTGTGTTTGACGATCGCCAGACTGATGTAGCCTTTAGACCAGTGCTCCTGCGAATGCCGAATTACACACACTTGGTGCCTGATGGCACCGTGCATATTTTCTGTTTTTATTAACTGTAGTTATTGGTCATGAAAATGTATATGCGTCCATTATTTTCATGGTTTAAGTTATTATATGTAGTGTATAATGTATTGTATAGAATATTTGACGCTGAAATCAAGCGTAGCTACTTTTTGTCATCCACGTGGTTCTGATCGCCGGATTGGTTACAGCCTTTTGAGCGGTTTTGCCGGTTCGGCATAGGACCGCCGGATAATGTTGAAAGCCAGATAATCGATTATTGTATTTTATCGACGCATCGCTTAATGAGAATGCAAGTGTCGTTTTCTATTTTATTTTGCAGCTTCTGAAGCCGCGTGCGGAAAGCGTCTACGACAAATTAAACCACCCCACGTACATGAACGCTTGAAAGTGACCACCTCGGGAACCACGCGCGCACTTAACACCGCCAGCAATCAGCACTCACGTGGAATTCAAAATGCAAGAGCCCACGGGGATGAATCCCAGGTTACATTTATCCGTCATAACGACGCACAAAGATCCACGTATAGCGAGTAGCAGCTATGAAGGTCGGCTAGGCACATGAGGGGGTGGGTGGTAAACACCACGCCTGACCACCTTTGTCTCTAAAGTTGTCATGTTTATACATCACACCAGGTCCACATTTGAGGCCCATGACCGGTTCAGATAATCGCTATCACTGGTGTTGGTCGTGATGGGGAATCGAACTCGGGTCGTAGCCGGGTTCGTAGCACAGCATGTTAATCGCTACGCTACCACTCCCCACACACACAACAACCGCCATTCGCCACTAAGTGGTGGTGACGTCTCCATGACGCTTGTGCCAGGCCATGTGCACCTTGAGGCCACGTGAAGTGTCGAACGCCCGCTGGCAGGAGATTGGAGGGCGACTGACTCCAACTGCCCAGTAGCGTCCTTCACGAGCCTCCTCCACAGAGGCCGATCTTGACACTGCTGGTACCAGTCATTGGCAAGTCCACTCAGCTCCACATCCTCCTGTACCACGTCACTTCATCTCTTCTCTAGCCCGTGCCGCACCCATTTAGCCCCCTCGATCCGGCCGAACAAAAGCTGTTTAGGCATGTGATAGCTGGGCATGCGGGCTACATGACCCAGCTAACGCAGCCTTGCCTGCCGGAGGAACTCACCGATGGGACTTTGTCCAGATCTTTCAAGGATATGTGAGCTCCTCGCACAATCCACCTTGGTTAAACCCAAGATGGATCGTAGGCAGGCCAGCCTAAATGTTTCTAACCGACGAAGATGTTCCATGAGGGAGGTCCACGTTTCGCAAGCGTAGAGAAGGGAGGGAATGACTGTGGCCGAGAAGACCTGAAGCTTCATGCGGAGCGACAGACCAGGTAGCTTCCACACAGCGTTACACAACCGATGAAAAAATCATGCCACTCGACTGATTTGGAGTGAGACCTCTGCAGTCAAACCGGAGCCGGTCATGATCACACTGCCCAGGTATGGGAAACTCTCCATTCTCGCCACAACTGCCCTATCACCAATTGGGAGTTGTGGGGGTGGAGTGTCCGATGGTACAAAATACCCATGCAGGTGCTTAGTTTTGGTGGGGCTGATGGTATGTCCCCACCTCTTAGTGGCAAGCTCCAGGTTTAGCAACAGCGCCTCCAACTCCTCCTCTGAGTGAGCAGCAATTACCAGATCATCGGCATACATAACATGGTTGATCAATAGGGAGCCATCCCTTGACTGCACCTGGGCATCGATCAGCCTCCCATTGTATCTGTACCAGATGGACATTTCTCTGGTACAGCTATTGAAGGCTTCATGAACTACGTGGTCGAAATCGATGTTAAATAATGTGGGAGCAAGAGGACATCCCTGTCGCGCCCCAAAGTGAACAGGGAATGGCTCCGACTCCTGGCCACACAAACACAGATACACACACATTTGACAAACACACAGACATGTAAGTATCGGTTATCAGCTGTATCTGAGTCTGTATTGAAAACTCACCTGTTCAAACTGGCCTTCACCCCCTGGTTCTGTTTTTATTTCCTCCTTTCTACACACGGCTAAATTGGGATATGTATACAGATTAAATGCATCTTGTAAATGTAAATAATTATGATTAACTGAACAGTACATTACATGGGTCCTGGGCTTGGACAGTTCCGAGTCGAGCGGCGAGTGATGGAGGACGGTGCAGGGCTGGATTGTAGATCCCCGATGTGGTTTTTACAATAAAAAAAATCTGTATCGGCATCTATGCTACTGATGTGCTCCAGTTGTTTTATACATCTGTATTGGGCTCAAACGGAGACTCAGACGTACTTTTGGAGGCAACACATTTATTAACATTACCACGTTAACACGACGGGGTAAATGCCCCTTCACCAGACAGTACGCTATGGTGGTGGACCACCAGGCTATCAACACTAATCACACATAGCTAGCTACAACGGACCGGACCACAGCTCGGGTCCGGGTCCTCGTGTTGGAGACTGTAGAACGTGAACGTGGAGCAGGGACGTGAAGTCTTCGGGACGACCACCTCGAATTCTGGAGGAGGATCTCCAACTAGCCACGTGATCACCCCAGCCCCCCTTTGGGGTCCCGGGGTAGACACCTCCGGTCACGTGTCATGGCCCCTTGAAACCCCGTTCCGAGGCCGGCACCCTCGTACGCTATCCTGTAGGGGCTGGCACTGCACGCAGCGCATGGTGCCATCCATTGCTGCCAGTCAGTGCTCCCTGAGCCCCGCTCAGGCCGGTACTGGATCATAACCTCAGTGGTGTTTGCGATGTCAATACATCGCTCACCGTGCCTCTCCGAGGCCAGCATCACACAGTGACATACACAGTGACATCCAACTATGTCACTACACATATGTAATGACCGAGATAGCAGACCGATTAGGGGCCATCCATTTAGTACGTATGCAAAAATCTGTCAAAACTTGACCCCTCCCTGTATGCACGCGTACTTTTTACACCCCCCCCCCCCCCCCCGAATCCTATAGAACAGCCGATATTTAATCCACGCAGAAACGATCAAGGATTAATAATATTAACGTGCATCATGGGATCTCCTTTGCCAGTACCAAAATATACTAATAGGGTTTTTCCCCTTTTTTTTGGCAACAAAACTGACACCTTTTGCAAGGAATCATGCTTACATTAACCACAATACCTGCAGTCAAATGCAAACAAAAAACAATACTCTGATAATTTATGCATTGTCTTTGAAACTGATTGGTCCGCACCAGAGACAGCTTTCTTTGGAGCCTAGTCTCATATGGTGTTCGACCAGATGACGCCAAAAGGCGCACAGTTCAAAGACAACGCAATACCAGAGTAATGAGAGCTCGGGATGAGCAGCTACATCATGGGATCTCCTTTGCCAGTACCAAAATATACTAATAGGGTTTTTCCCCTTTTTTCTGGCAACAAAACTGACACCTTTTGCAAGGAATCATGCTTACATTAACCACAATACCTGCAGTCAAATGCAAACAAAAAACAATACTCTGATAATTTATGCATTGTCTTTGAAACTGATTGGTCCGCACCAGAGACAGCTTTCTTTGGAGCCTAGTCTCATATGGTGTTCGACCAGATGACGCCAAAAGGCGCACAGTTCAAAGACAACGCAATACCAGAGTAATGAGAGCTCGGGGTGAGCAGCTACATCATGGGATCTCCTTTGCCAGTACCAAAATATACTAATAGGGTTTTTCCCCTTTTTTTTGGCAACAAAACTGACACCTTTTGCAAGGAATCATGCTTACATTAACCACAATACCTGCAGTCAAATGCAAACAAAAAACAATACTCTGATAATTTATGCATTGTCTTTGAAACTGATTGGTCCGCACCAGAGACAGCTTTCTTTGGAGCCTAGTCTCATATGGTGTTCGACCAGATGACGCCAAAAGGCGCACAGTTCAAAGACAACGCAATACCAGAGTAATGAGAGCTCGGGGTGAGCAGCTACATCATGGGATCTCCTTTGCCAGTACCAAAATATACTAATAGGGTTTTTCCCCTTTTTTCTGGCAACAAAACTGACACCTTTTGCAAGGAATCATGCTTACATTAACCTATTAGTATATTTTGGTACTGGCAAAGGAGATCCCATGATGTAGCTGCTCACCCCGAGCTCTCATTACTCTGGTATTGCGTTGTCTTTGAACTGTGCGCCTTTTGGCGTCATCTGGTCGAACACCATATGAGACTAGGCTCCAAAGAAAGCTGTCTCTGGTGCGGACCAATCAGTTTCAAAGACAATGCATAAATTATCAGAGTATTGTTTTTTGTTTGCATTTGACTGCAGGTATTGTGGTTAATGTAAGCATGATTCCTTGCAAAAGGTGTCAGTTTTGTTGCCAGAAAAAAGGGGAAAACCCCTATTAGAATATTAACGTGTTTAAGCAAACAAATAGTCCACGGCTGGCTGCATTAAACTATTAAGTTGCATACATTTAACAAGTTTGTCGCGTGTCCGCTAGGTTCAAACGCGACTGAACCCAGTCGAACAGGTGACGTGTTACAGGAATTTCATCAACACACGCAATGTCAGGCTTTATCGAGACTTCACCCCCTCCCCCGTTTCCTATGCGTATGTACATTGTCAGTAGACCCCCCATACACAAGTGTACGCATTTGGGTGAACCCCCGCTCCCCCCTCCATGCATACGTACTGAATGGATGGCCCCTTACCTGAGACAAGCGTACTGTCAGTCAAACAATCAGGAAGAAGACCAAGGCATTCCATTGGTGAAGAGAGACCTCCATAGTGATTGGTCGGGAGGCAATATTGAAAGGGATTGGAGGAATAATTTGAAAGGTAAAAAGGCGGGAAGCAAGGGTGGACTGTATAATGATGGTTGAGATCCATTGGTGAGGAAGGGTCAGGATTGGCCAAAGGGAGTGGGTAGTGAAAGCTTCCAGAGAGGGGTGGGGAGGTATATAAAAGGAGAAAGCACAAGGAGAGGGAACATTAGAAAGAAGACGGAGCTCAAACCTCAAGAACCAATCCTGGCCATCGTTAGTGCTGTCTGAATAAAAGGCTCTTAATAAGTCACCACATGTGTTGGCTTCACTGCACATATACAATGAACCAACAAATCAATCGATTCTTGTTTCCTATAAATGTTATGTTTGCTAGTTGGTATCGATATTCGTCAGCCACTGGTAAGACCACCTCTTCTGTTCTTAACTCAGCTCGCCTGGTATTATCAATTAAAGATATCTCACTGTCCCCATGTGATTTGCTCGTTAGTTTCGATGTACGTTTACCAAAGTTCCTGTGCCCGATACCATTGCAATAATTGGAGATTTGGTCCAACAAGGATTGAATGCTGATGTACCAGCCCAGGTGAGACACTTCCTCACCAATACATACTTCACCTGGAGTGGAACGTTCTACAAACAAACTGAAGGCATCCCAATGGGTTCTCCCTTATCTCCGGTTGTGGCCAACATTTTCATGGAAAAATTTGAGACAGACGCCATCCAGGCATCCACTCTACGCCCGTCTTTGTGGCCACATGGCCGACCGGTTCTGAAAGAATTCCTCAACCACATTATTCCATACACCCAGCAATCAAATACACCATGGAGGTATGAAAGGATGGGATGCTACCTTTCTAGGATGTCTTAATCAAAAAGAGACCAGATGGCTCAATGAGCCACTCTGTCTACAGGAAAGTAACCCATACTGACGCCTACCTAAAACCTGATTTCCACCACCATCCATCCCAGAAGAATTCCCTGATCAAAACGCTACACCATAGAGCTCAATATATCTCCGACCATGAACACCTAACCAGTGAACTCAAACACGTACTGTACACTAAGCTCTCAAGGCGAATGGATATTCTGACTTCACAATCCGCAAAGCCATCACCCCAACCATGAGGAAGGAGCCATCTGAAGATCCAATCAAAACCATCACCTTGCCTTACATAGCAAGGATAACCAAAAAGATTTCCAAAATCTTGAACAAACACAAGATCCAGGTCCGATTTAACACAGTGCATAAAATTTGTGATCTGATCCCATCTGTGAAGGACAAGATTCCTGACACGCAATATCCCGGCATCTATAAACTAAGCTGTATCTGTGGCAGCAGTTACTTTGGGGAAACTAAACGACATGTTTCGGACCGTGTTCGTGAACATAAGGCAGATCTGAAACACGGCAGGACCAATACTTCTGCTGTGGCTGATCATTACTTAAATGGGGCTGGCTCACGTGAAATTGATTTCTCTAAGACGATGGTACTT